AGAGAGCTGTGTGTGTAGAGCTGTGTTAGGAGCTGTGTGTGTAGAGAGCTGTGTTAGAGAGCTGTGTTAGAGAGCTGTGTTAGAGAGCTTGTTGTAGGAGCTGTGTGTGTAGAGAGCTGTGGTGTAGAGACTGTGTTGGTGTGTAGAGAGCTGTGGTGTAGAGAGCTGTGTGTCTAGAGAGCTGTGTGTAGAGAGCTGTGTATAGAGAGCTGTGTATAGAGAGCTGGGTATTTGTGTGTATAGAGAGCTGTGTGTAGAGAGCTGTGTGTGTAGAGAGCTGTGTATAGAGAGCTGTGTAGAGAGCTGTGTAGAGAGCTGTGTGTTAGAGAGCTGTGTGTAGAGAGCTGTGTGTAGAGAGCTGTGTTAGAGAGCTGTGTCTAGAGAGCTGTGTATTTGTGTGTATAGAGAGCTGTGTGAACTGAGTGGGTGGTTAAGGCTAAAGCTTATGACCCTATTAGCTATGCTGTCATCTGGGGTGAAACTAAACTATGCTACGCTAAGCTAACGGAAGGCTACGCTAATCCTCCAAAGTGTGTTTTAGGTTGAAGCTAAGCTAACGGAGGCTATGCTAATCCTCCCAACTGTGTTATAGGGTGAAGGTAAGCTAACGGAGGCTATGCTAATCCTCCCAACTGTGTTATAGGTTGAAGCTAAGCTAACGGAGGCTATGCTAATCCTCCCAACTGTGTTATAGGGTGAAGGTAAGCTAACGGAGGCTACGCTAATCCTCCCAGCTGTGATACTAATGATTAGCGGATTAGCGAGATGAGGATGTGTTTGTGTGTGTGTGTAGTGTGTGTGTGTGTGTAGTGTGTCTAAGCTTTTCCACAGACCAACAGCTGGGAGTTGGGCTGTAGCGAGGTTGTCAAGGCGATGATTTATGCTTCCCAACATTCCAGAGAGGCGGGAGTAATCATGTGCTGCTGTCAATCATCTAGTCAGGAAATTAAAGAAGGAAAAAACGAGTTTCTCAGGGAACGTTTTACACTGTGAAGCTTTATTGGGCTTTAGGTTGAAATACAAATGCCACATTATGAAAAAGAAAAAACAGTTTCATTAAATATGTCAAGAAACAGAGTTACATAGAAAACCAAGCAAGGCACCGCCACAACCAATCAGATTCCCCCTTTGTGCTCATGGGCCAATAGCAGCGCCCGATGTTAGACTGCTTAGAGCTTCAGACAGGCGAGTGTTTCATCAGTAAAGAGTTGTGCTCTTCATCATCACGAAGACGTGTATTATGTGTATTACATCACAGACACACGTGGTTCAGATCATTAATGTTTTCTCTAGAATCCCAAACATTCTGCATCAAGTCATCGGTGTGTGTGTGTTCTAGTCAGGGGATGTAGAGATTACTGTAGTGTGTTACAATCTAGGCCAGACAGACAGACAGGCATGGTTCCATGGTTCTATCCAGTTATAACCAGTTCTCAACTATGGTTCCATGGTTCTATCCAGTTCTAACCACTTCTAAACTATGGTTCCATGGTTCTATCCAGTTCTAACCAGTTCTAAACTATGGTTCCATGGTTCTATCCAGTTCTAACCAGTTCTAAACTATGGTTCATGGTTCTATCCAGTTCTAACCAGTTCTAAACTATGGTTCCATGGTTCTATCCAGTTCTAACCAGTTCTAAACTATGGTTCCATGGTTCTATCCAGTTCTAACCAGTTCTAAACTATGGTTCTATGGTTCTAACCAGTTCTAAACTATGGTTCCATGGTTCTATCCAGTTCTAACCAGTTCATGGTTCTAACTATGGTTCCATGGTTCAGTAATCGTTCTAACCAGTTCTAAGTAATGGGTCTCCTGGTCTAGGTTCGTTCTAACCATGTTCTAAGGTAATGGTCCTCCCTGGTTCTAAGGTATGGTCCTCTGCGTCTAAGGTAATGGGTCCTCCCTGGTCTAAGGTAATGGGTCCTCCCTGGTCTAGGTAAGGGTCTCTGGTCTAAGGTAATGGGTCCTCCCTGGTTGTCTAAGGTAATGGACTCCCTGGTTAGGTAAGGTCCTCCTGGTCTAAGGTAATGGGTCCTCCTGGTCTAAGGTAATGGGTCCTCCCTGGTCTAAGGTAATGGGTCCTCCCTGGTCTAAGGTAATGGGTCCTCCCTGGTCTGTCTAAGGTAATGGGTCCTCCCTGGTCTAAGGTAATGGGTCCTCCCTGGTCTAAGGTAATGGGTCCTCCCTGGTCTAAGGTAATGGGTCCTCCCTGGTCTAAGGTAATGGGTCCTCCCTGGTCTAAGGTAATGGGTCCTCCCTGGTCTAAGGTAATGGGTCCTCCCTGGTCTAAGGTAATGGGTCCTCCCTGGTCTAAGGTAATGGGTCCTCCTGGTTCTAAGGTAATGTGTCCTCCCTGGTCTAAGTAATGGGTCTCCCTGTCTAAGGTAATGGGCCCTGGTCTAGGTAAGTCCTCCCTGGTCTAAGGTAATGGGTCCTCCCTGGTCTAAGGTAATGGGTCCTCCCTGGTCTAAGGTAATGGGTCCTCCTGGTCTAGGTAATGGGTCCTCCCTGGTTCTAAGGTAATGGGTCCTCCCTGGTCCCTAAGGTAATGGGTCCTCCTGGTCCAAGGTAATGGGTCCTCCCTGGTCTGTCTAAGGTATGGGTCCTCCCTGGTCTAAGGTAATGGGTCCTCCCTGGTCCGGCTAAGTAATGGGTCCCCCTGGTCTAAGGTAATGGGTCCTCCCTGGTCTGTCTAAGGTAATGGGTCCTCCCGTGTCTAAGGTAATGGGTCTCCCTGGTCTAAGGTAATGGGTCCTCCCTGGTTCTGTCTAAGGTAATGGACCTCCCTGGTCTAAGGTAATGGGTTCCTCCTGGTCTAAGGTAATGGGTCCTCCCTGTCTAAGGTAATGGGTCCTCCCTGGTCTGTCTAAGTAATGGTCCTCCTGGTCTAAGGTAATGGGTCCTCCCTGGTCTAAGTAATGGGTCCTCCCTGGTCTGTCCTAAGGTAATGGGTCCTCCCTGGTCTAAGGTAATGGGGTCCTCCCTGGGTCTAAGGTAATGGGTCCTCCATGGTCTAAGGTAATGGGTCCTCCTGGTTGTCTAAGGTAATGGGTCCTCCTGGTCTAAGGTAATGGGTCCTCCCTGGTCTAAGGTAATGGGTCCTCCCTGGTCTAAGGTAATGGGTCCTCCCTGGTCTAAGGTAATGGGTCCTCCCTGGTCTAAGGTAATGGGTCCTCCCTGGTCTAAGGTAATGGGTCCTCCTGGGTCTAAGGTAATGGGTCCTCCCTGGTCTAAGGTAATGGTCCTCCTGGTCTAAGGTAATGGGTCCTCCCTGGTCTAAGGTAATGGGTCCTCCCTGGTCTAAGGTAATGGTACCTCCTGGTCTAAGGTAATGGGTCCTCCTGGTCTAAGGTAATGGGTCCTCCCTGGTCTAAGGTAATGGGTCCTCCTGGTCTAAGGTAATGGGTCCTCCTGGTCTAAGGTAATGGGTCCTCCCTGGTCTAAGGTAATGGGTCCTCCCTGGTCTAAGGTAATGGGTCCTCCCTGGTCTGTCTAAGGTAATGCACTGTAAAGGGGATAGGGATTATGGTGTCATTTGGGATGTAGCCTCTGTCTCTGTCTCTGTTTAGACAGATGAGAAACGTTCTGTCTCTGGGAGGGTTAAGAGTTTAGACAGACAATCGTTCTGTCTCTGGGAGGGTTAAGAGTTTAGACAGATGACAAACGTTCTGTCTCTGGGAGGGTTAAGAGTTTAGACAGACAATCGTTCTGTCTCTGGGAGGGTTAAGAGTTTAGACAGACAATCGTTCTGTCTCTGGGAGGGTTAAGAGTTTAGACAGACAATCGTTCTGTCTCTGGGAGGGTTAAGAGTTTAGACAGATGACAAACGTTCTGTCTCTGGGAGGGTTAAGAGTTTAGACAGATGACAAACGTTCTGTCTCTGGGAGGGTTAGGAGTTTAGACAGACAATCGTTCTGTCTCTGGGAGGGTTAAGAGTTTAGACAGACAATCGTTCTGTCTCTGGGAGGGTTAAGAGTTTAGACAGATGACAAACGTTCTGTCTCTGGGAGGGTTAAGAGTTTAGACAGATGACAAACGTTCTGTCTCTGGGAGGGTTAAGAGTTTAGACAGATGAGAAACGTTCTGTCTCTGGGAGGGTTAAGAGTTTAGACAGATGAGAAACGTTCTGTCTCTGGGAGGGTTAAGAGTTTAGACAGATGAGAAACGTTCTGTCTCTGGGAGGGTTAAGAGTTTAGACAGACAAACGTTCTGTCTCTGTTTTCAGATCCCAACTGACTCATTTAATGCAGAGAGTAAACCTATAGCATTCCAGATGTGATCATTTCCAGTTAAGAGGTTTCCAGTATTAGCCACATATAGCCCTATATATATTTAATGTTCTTCACTTTATCCTTTGAAAATAGACACATAAAAGTATTCTGGGGATGAGAATGTGCATCTTCAATATGTACCCATTTGTTCCTCTTTAGTGCATTTAAATCTATATGTCGCAAGTAAAAGCCTCGGGTGGCGAGTTGATACAATTCTGGAAGGTTAAAACGCCCCTCAGACTCTGGGAGGTTAAAACGCCCCTCTGACTCTGGGAGGTTAAAACGCCCCTCTGACTCTGGGAGGTTAAAACGCCCCTCTGACTCTGGGAGGTTAAAACGCCCCTCTGACTCTGGGAGGTTAAAACGCCCCTCTGACTCTGGGAGGTTAAAACGCCCCTCAGACTCTGGGAGGTTAAAACGCCCCTCAGACTCTGGGAGGTTAAAACGCCCCTCAGACTCTGGGAGGTTAAAACGCCCCTCTGACTCTGGGAGGTTAAAACGCCCCTCTGACTCTGGGAGGTTAAAACGCCCCTCTGACTCTGGGAGGTTAAAACGCCCCTCAGACTTATGAAGATCTAAAACCTTCCTTCTTTATTCTATGAATTGTATTTGCCCAAATAAAGTCAGAGGATACTTTAAAAAAAGTGGGATAATTGGTATTTACGGAGAATGTGTGTGTTAACTGCATAGTGTCGTCAGTACTCCCAGAGAGTGGCGTTGTCCACACCCTCAGCGTTGGCCTTCAGAACCCCGGCGTGGTCTCCTTTGAGGTACCGCCCCCCCGGCGCCCGCACCGCCATCTTGTTGTAGTCACACAGCTCAAACAGGAAGTAAGTGGGCGTGTCCCCGCTGCACACCACTGCGGACTCCTCGCCCACGCACCAGAACTTCCCCTGTGAGTCTAGAGAGGAGGGAGATGGAGATTATTATAGATTATTATAGATATATATTATATTATACCAAGCATTAGGAACACCTTCCTAATATTGAGTCGCACCCCCTCCCCCCCTTTTGTTCTCAGAACAGCCTCAATTCGTCGGGGCGTGGACTCTACAAGGTGTTCGAAAGCGTTCCACAAGGATGCTGGCCCATGTTGACTCCAATGCTTCCCACAGTTGCGTCAAGTTGGCTGGATGTCCTTTGGGTGGTGGACCATTATTGATACACACGGGAAACTGTTGAGCGTGAAAAACCCAGCAGCGTTGCAGTTCTTGACACAAACCGGTGCGCCTGGCACCTACTACCATACCCCGTTCAAAGGCACTTAAATATTTTGTCTTGCCCATTCACCCTCTGAAGGGCACACACACACATTCCATGTCTCAATTGTTTCAAGGCTTAAAAATCCTTCTATAACCTGTCTCCTCCCCTTCATCTACACTGATTTAAGTGGATTTATCAAGTGACATCAATAAGGGATCATAGCTTTCACCTGGTCAGTCTATGTCATGGAAAGAGCAGGTGTTCCTAATGTTTTATACACTCATGTGTACACTTGTGTGTGTGTACCTCGGAGGCTGTAGGCGCCATCTTTAAACTCCAGCTGGAAGACGTCGTAGGAGGAGCGGTTAGAATCCAGCGTTCCCGTGCCAACCTTGCGACAGCCAATGAAACCGTGTTCTCCACGGAGGACTATGATTGGCCGGTTGATCAGCTTCATCAGGAACTGCTCCGCCTCCGCTGGAGCCAAACAGAAAACAGATCACACTGATTGATTAGCTGATTGGTTGATAAGTTAATTAATAGGTTTGTGTCTTGATCAGATCAGTTAGTTGATTGATTGTTTAATTGACAGTTATTTCAATAATAAGGAACATTGATGCAACTATGAAATGATAAGATTCACTGGCCGCTGCGGCCATAGTTACAGCATGTATGGTTATGGTAATGAGATTGGTTATGGTAATGAGATTGGTTATGGTAATGAGATTGGTTATGGTAACAGTATCCACGATTATGATAGTGGTCTTCATGGTTATGTTAGTGGTATCCATGGTTACGTTAGTGGTATCCATGGTTACGTTAGTGGTATCCATGGTGACAGACTAACCTGCGTTGTCGATGGTTGCAGCTAGTTGTCCGTTCCTCTTGGCAGCAACATATTTCCCGTTAGAGGCTCTGAGAGAAACCTTCCCCTCACGCCACTCTAGATCAAAATGACTGTTAGCTGACCTACACACACACACACACACACACACACACACACACACACACACACACACACACACACACACACACACACACACACACACAGTTAAAATAACATATTTCGTTAAGAGGTTCTGAGTGGCAGGGAGGGTGTGTGTGTGTGGTTGTAGTGTGTATTACTTGCTGTGTGTGTGTAGTGTGTAGTGTGTAGTGTGTAGTGTGTAGTGTGTAGTATGTAGTGTGTAGTGTGTAGTGTGTAGTGTGTATAGTGTATTACTTAGTGGAGGCAGTACACTGCAGTCCTCCGGTAGCGGTGAGGGTCCAGTACTTCCCGGCAGCGGTCCGGAACGCACTCTTCCTGTTTCCTGTCTCGCGACTCATCTCCACCTGAAACACTTCCTGGTCACCCTCCTCGTCCTGATTGGCCGACAGGTCCATGCCTGGGGTCAGGGGGAGAAGTCACAGAGGTCATACAGGGTCCATTGTGAACGTTATGTTATGAAACTAGGAATTATTTAGGATTGTGTTTTTTTACAGAAGGTTTCAATCAACTGTTTCAATCAACTGTTTCAATGAAACACAGCCTGTACTAGTAGTTCACTCACTAATACATATTACTATATACTACATATATATAATAATAATACCCAATACAGCTATTCTACTATATATATTACTATATACTACATATATATAATACTAATACCCGATACAGCTACTCTACTATATATATTACTATATACTACATATATATAATACTAATACCCAATACAGCTACTCTACTATATATATATATATTACTATATACTAGATATATATATAATACTAATACACAATACAGCTACTCTACTATATATATTACTATATACTACATATATATAATACTAATACCCAATACAGCTACTCTACTATATATATTACTATATACTAGATATATATATATAATACTAATACCCAATACAGCTACTCTACTATATATATTACTATATACTACATATATATATAATACTAATACCAATACAGCTACTCTACTATATATATTACTATATACTACATATATATATAATACTATTACCCAATACAGCTACTCTACTATATATATTACTATATACTACATATATATAATACTAATACCAATACAGCTACTCTACTATATATTACTATATACTACATATAGATATAATACTAATACCCAATACAGCTACTCTACTATACATATTACTATATACTAGATATATATATATATATATAATACTAATACCCAATACAGCTACTCTACTATATATATTACTATATACTAGATATATATATATAATACTAATACCCAATACAGCTACTTTACTATATATATTACTATATACTACATATATATATATATATATATATATATATATATATATATATAATACTAATACCCAATATAGCTACTCTACTATATATATATTACTATATACTACATATATATATAATACTAATACCCAATACATATTTGTATTTATATTTATCATGGATCCCTATTGCCAAGGCAGCAGCTACTCTTCCTGGGGTTTATTATGGATCCCCATTAGTTCCTGCCAAGGCAGCAGCTACTCTTCCTGGGGTTTATTATGGATCCCCATTAGTTCCTGCCAAGGCAGCAGCTACTCTTCCTGGGGTTTATTATGGATCCCCATTAGTTCCTGCCAAGGCAGCAGCTACTCTTCCTGGGGTTTATTATGGATCCCCATTAGTTCCTGCCAAGGCAGCAGCTACTCTTCCTGGGGTTTATTATGGATCCCCATTAGTTCCTGCCAAGGCAGCAGCTACTCTTCCTGGGGTTTATTATGGATCCCCATTAGTTCCTGCCAAGGCAGCAGCTACTCTTCATGGGGTTTATTATGGATCCCCATTAGTTCCTGCCAAGGCAGCAGCTACTCTTCCTGGGGTTTGTTAGGTTTTTAGATTTTTTTGCAAATGCATTAAAAATAAAAAAAAGTTTACATAAGTATTCTGAAACTTTTCTCAGTACTTTGTTGAAGCACCTTTGGTAGCGATTACAGCCTTGAGTCTTCTTGGGTATGACGCTACAAGCTTGGCATACCTGTATTTGGGGAGTTTCTCCCATTCTTCTCTGCAGATCCTCTCAAGCTCTGTCAGGTTGGATGGGGAGCGTCGCTGCACAGCTATTTTCAGGTCTCTCCAGAGATGTTCGATCGGGTTCAAGTCCGGGCTCTGGCTGGGCCACTCAAGGACATTCAGAGACTTGTCCCGAAGCCACTCCTGCATTTTCTTAACTGTGTGCTTAGGGCCATTGTCCTGTTGGAAGGTGAACCTTCGCCCCAGTCTGAAGTCCTGAGCGCTCTGGAGCAGGTTTTTATCAAGGATCTCTCTGTACTTTGCTCTGTTCATCTTTCCCTCTATCCTGATTAGTCTCCCAGTCCCTGCCGCTGAAAAACATCCCCTCAGCATGATGCTGCCACCACCATGCTTCACAGTAGGGATGGTGCCAGGTTTCCTCCAGACGTGACGCCTGGCATTCAGGTCAACGAGTTCAGTCTTGGTTTCATCAGACCAGAGAATCTTGTTTCTCATGGTCTGAGAGTCTTTAGGTGTCTTTTGGCAAACTCCAAGCGGGATGTCATGTGCCTTTTACTGAGGAGTGGCTTCCGTCTGGCCACTCTACCATAAAGGCCTGATTGGTGGAGTGCTGCAGAGATGGTTGTCCTTCTGGAAGGTTCTCCCATCTCCACAGAGGAACTCTGGAGCTCTATCAGAGTGACCATCGGGTTCTTGGTCACCTCCCTGACCAAGGCCCTTCTCCCCCGATTGCTCAGTTTGGCCGGGAGGCCAGCTCTAGGAAGAGTCTTGGTGGTTCCAAACTTCCATTTAAGAATGATGGAGGCCACTGTGTTCTTGGGGACCTTCAATACTGCAGACATTTTTTTGTACCCTTCCCCAGATCTGTGCCCCGACACAATCCTGTCTCGGAGATCTACAGACAATTCCTTCGACCTCACGACTTGGTTTTTTTCTCTGACATGCACTGTCAACTGTACGACCTTATATAGACAGGTGTGTGCTTTTCCAAATCATGTCCAATCAATTTAATTTACCACAAGTGGACTCCAATCAAGTTGTAGAAACATCTCAAGGTTAATCAATGGAAACAGGATGCACATGAGCTCAATTTCGAGTCTCATAGCAAAGAGTCTGAATACTTATGTAAATAAGGTATTTCAGTTTTTTATTCTTAATACATTTTTTAAACCTGTTTTCGCTTTGTCATTATGGGGTATTGTATGTAGATTGATGAGGAAAAACATTAATTTAATCCATTTTAGAATAAGGCTGTTACGTAACAAAATATGGAAAAAGTCAAGGGGTGTGAATACTTTCCGAAGGCACTGCATACGTTTTTCCATCAGCAGACTATGATCGATAATGTCAAAAGCCGCACTGAAGTCTAACAAAACAGCCCCCACAATATTTTTATTATCCATTTCTCTCAGCCAAACATCAGTCTGCCGTGCATGTTGAATGCCCTTCCCTATAAGCGTGCTGAAAGTCTGTTGTTAATTTATTTACTATAAAATAGCAATGTATCTGGTCAAACACAATTCTTTCCAAAAGTTTCCTGTGAGTTGGTAACAGGCTGATTGGTCGGCTATTTGTATATCAATATATATTGATTGGTTGATTAATTTGATGCTACACAAAGATAAATAACATAACAGTTTTCTAAACTAATCCAATCTGTTAGCGGTTGGATTTATTGCACCCGTTACTGAGATGGTCGTTCCAGTTGAGATGATTGAGGTAGTCTCAGTATCCAGTCTTCCCTACTATTGAGGTAGTCTCAGTATCCAGTCTTCCCTACTATTGAGGTAGTCTCAGTATCCAGTCTTCCCTACTATTGAGGTAGTCTCAGTATCCAGTCTTCCCTACTATTGAGGTAGTCCCAGTATCCAGTCTTCCCTACTATTGAGGTAGTCTCAGTATCCAGTCTTCCCTACTATTGAGGTAGCTCATATCCAGGGGGTTTCCCCCCATTTAGGGAGGGCCCAGATCCAATCTTCCCCACTATTGGGTAGTCTCAGTATCCCGTTTTTCCCTCTATTGAGGGGAGTCCCATTTTCCATTTTTCCCTACATTGAGGTGTCCCGTATCCAGTCTTCCCCACTCTAGGGGAGTTTTTTGAATGCAGGTTGCAGTGATGTCATGGGGCCAAGGGAAACCCAAACCCCCCCCCACCCCCAAAAAAAAAAATGACCCGGAAAAAAAAAAAAAAATATCAAAAAATTTTTAAACTTTCGCGGGCCCCGTGTTTCAAAAATTTTCCTTTAGTTTTGCAAGAGCTGAATGTACTTTAAAAGAAACGCGCCCCTCCCCCTGTCTTCTACCCTTAAAGGGTCTATTATGCTTCTGGTCTTTGGGGGGCTTTGGGGCCCCCCCCCCTTCTTCCCCTACCCGAGGGCCCTCATTGAGCTGTCCCGGTCCTGGGAGGCGTGGGGGCCCCTCCCTCCCTCTGTCTCTTAAAAAGTAGGCCATTTCTGTGTGTCTGGGCTTGGGGAGGGGTGGCGCCCCCCCCCCTTTTTCCCCTTTTCTCTACCTTAGGCCCCCCCCCTTTTGGATGCTGTCGGGCTTGGGGAGGCTTTGGGCCCCCCCCCCCCCTTGGGCCCCTTACCGTAAAGGGCCCCTTTGATGCTGTTGGTCTTGGTAGGCTGGGCCCCCCCTTTCCCCCCCGTCTCCTAAAATGTTGGCCAAACATCTGATGTGTTGGGCTTGGGGAGGGTGGCCCCCCCCCCCCCCCTCTGTCTCTCTACCTGTAGGCCCTCCCATCTGATGCGGGTTGGGTTTTGGAGGCGTGGGGCCCCCCCCCTCTGTCTTCTACCGGGAGGCCATCTATCTGATTTCGTCTGGTTTTTGGTGAGGCGTGGGGGCCCCCCCCCCCCCCCCTCTTCTCTCTACCTGTAGGCCCTCTATCTGAGCTGTTGGGGCTTGGTGAGGGGTTTGGCCCCCCCCCCCCCCCGGGCTTCTACCCGTTGGGCCCTCTTCTATCTGTCTGGGCTTGGTTAGGGGGGCGCCCCCCCCTCGTTCCCCCTTACCCGTAGGGAAACCCAAAATTTATTTCGTCTGGGCTTGGTAGGCGAGGCCCCCCCCCCTCCATCTTCTCTTTTTTACCTGTGGGCCCTAAACTGAGCTGTTGGTCCTTTGGGGGGCGTGGGGGCCCCTCCCCTGTCTCTTACCTTGGGGCCCCTATTGATGCGTCTGGTTTTTGTGGGGTGGCCCCCCCCCTCCCCTTTTTTTTTGTCTCTCTACCTGTAGGCCCCTTCTGAGGGTGCTGGTCTTGGTGAGGCCCTGGCCCCCTCCCCCCTGTCTCTCTCCTGGGAAAGGGCCCTCCTTTTGATCTGTCGGTCTTGGGGGCGTGGCGCCCCCCCCTCCCTCGTCCTCTACCGGGAGGCCATCTTTGATGCGGGCGGTCTTTGGGGAGGGTTTGGGCCCCCCCCTCCCCTTTTCTCTTACCTTGGGGCCCTCTTCTGATGCGGGTTTGGCTTGGGGAGGCGTGGGGCCCCCCCCTCCCTCGTCTCCTTTCCCGTAGGCCTTATTTGGGTGCGTTGGTCTTGAAGAGGCGGGGCCCCCCCCCCCCCCCCCCTTGTTCTCTAAATGTAGGCCCTTATCTGTGCTGTTGGTCTTGGTGAGGGGTTGGGCCCCCCCCCTCCTTTTTTTTTTTTTTTCTTTCCCCGTAAAGGCCCTCATCTGATGCGGCTGGTCTTGGTGAGGCGTTGGGGCCCCTCCCCCCCCTTGTTCTCTACCTAGGCCACTTTTTGATGCTTCTGGTCTTTGGGAGGGGGGCCCCCCTCCCCCTTTTTTTATCTCACCCCGTAGGCCCTCTATTGATGGTCTGGTCTTGGTGAGGGGATGGGGCCCCCCCTCCCTTTTGCCTCACCTGAGGCCCCTCTACTGTGCGGGCCCCGGTCTTGGTAGGCCTGCCCCCCCCCCCCCTCTTTTCTCTACCCAGGCCCTCCCATCTGATGCTGTCTGGTCTTGGTGAGGCGTGGCGCCCCCCCTCCCTCTGTCTCTCTCCCTGTAGGCCATCTATCTGATGCTGTCTGGTCTTGGTGAGGCGTGGGCCCCCCCCCCTCCCTCTGTCTCTCTACCTGTAGGCCTCATCTGATCTGTCGGTCTTTGGGGAGGCTGGGCCCCCCTCCCTTGTCTCTTAAAGTAAAGGGCCCTTATCCCGATTCTGGTTTTTTGGTGAGGCGTGGCCCCCCTCCCTCTGTCCCCTTCCCACCTGTAGGCCATCTATCTGATGCTTCTGGTCGGGGAGGCGTGGCGCCCCCCCTCCCCCCTGTCTCTTACCTGTAGGCCATTTCCCCCCATCTGAAAAGCTTTGGTCTTTGGGAGGGCGTGGCTCCCCGGTGATTTTTTTCCCCCGCACCCCTACTGGTTTGGGGGGATTATCCCAAATTTCCCCTTGTTGTATCCGGAACCCGACTGGAATTTCCATAGAAATCAAAAATCCTTTGCCAAACCAGGATAATGTGACTTTCTGGGGCGATTAGCCTGTAAAACCCGGAGGTTTTCCCAAACCCCCTGTAAAGAAAAAGGGTAGATTATTTAATGTATGTCAAAATAAGGGCTAATAAAGGGTGGGGGAACCGGGTTTATAAGGGTTCTAGGAAAACTCCCCCAAAGATAAAATGGTTCTTGGGGAGAAAAACTTTCAAAAACCCTCCAAAGATAAAAAGGTTCTAGGTAGAACCTTTAGAATTTTGAAATGGGGGATTTGGGAAACCCTTCAAAAGAAAGGGCCAAAAAGGGGTTTCCCCATGGAAAAAAAAACCCAAGAAAATCGGGGTTTTTTTACTAAGCACATTTTTTTCCCAAGAAATGGAAATTTAAAACTCTCTCCTTCCCCCCCCCCCCCCCCTCCCTCCCTCCCCCCCCCCCTCCCTCCCCCCCCCGCCCCCCTCCCTCCCCCCCACCTCCCTCCCTCCTTCCCCAAAACATCCCCAAAACCTCCTCCCCACACACATTTCCCCACACTCCAAAACCCCCACGCACTCTTTATCTCTCTTTAACCCTCCTTTTACTATTCAAACATCACTAAATTTTTCCTTCCCCCATTTCCCCTATCCCTCCATTCCAAACCCTTTCTTCCTCAGGAATCTCCTGGAATTGTTCCTCTCAAAAAATAGAGACCCCATCCTGAGTAGTTTAAAAGATATTTGGTTTTTGGCACTGCTTTAAAAACCCCTGGGAATTGGGTAATGATAACACAACCAAATTTCCCCCCATAACAGCCCTAAAAGCTAACCCACTACCACATAATCCCCACAAAAACAGCATACAGCTAAAGGGATAAAAACACACTAATGCCCCCCATAACAGCATACAGCTAAAAATACTAAAACACAATGTCCCCACATAAAACATACGCTAAACGGGACTCCCCCCAAGGGCCCCACATAACACTACAGCTAACTTACTACCACCCCAAAGTCCCCCCCATAACAGCAACAGCAAATGTACTCCACACTATGCCCCCAAAAAAAAAACTAAAAGCTAAATGTATAATAACACACTAATGTCCCCCCAAAAACAGCCTCAGTAAAAATACTAATAACACCTAAATTCCCCCCCATAAAACATACAGCAAATGTACTAAACCCCAAAATTCCCCCAAACAACAACAACTAAATGTACTAATAACAAAACTAATGTCCCCACATAACAGCATCCCCTAAAAGTATTTCCACACTAATGTTTCCCCCCCTAAAAAAGCAACCCCTACTGTCTACCACACTAATTCCCCCCATAACAGCATACAGCTAACTGTACTACCCACTAAAGTCCCCAAAAAACACATACAAACTGTCTACCACCTAAAATTTCCCCCCCTAACAGCATAAAAGCTAACTGCACTACCACATAAGTCCCAAAATAACAGCAACGCTAACTTTTTTAAAAACACTAATTTTCCCCCCATAACAGCATACAGCTTTAAAGGGAAATAAAACACTAATGTCCCCCCAAACAGCATACAAAACTGTAAAATAAACACCCTTTAAAGTCCCACATAACAGCATACGCAACTTACTAAAAAACACACTAGTCCCCAATAACCCCAACGCTAACTGTACTACCACACTAATGTCCCCACAAACAGCATTCAGCTAAATGTTTCTACCACACTAAAGTCCCCACATAAAAACATACAGCAACTGTTTCTAAACCCCCACTAATTCCCCACATAACACAAAGCTAAAGTATAACCCCCACTAAGGGCCCCCCAAAAACAGATACAGCTAACGTACTAATAACACCCCTAAGTCCCCACATAAAAAAGCAACAGCTAACTGGGACTAAACCCCCACTAAAAGGGCCCCACATAAAAGCAACAGCTAACTTACTAAACCCCACTAATGTTCCCCCCATAAAAAACCAAAAACAGCCAACTTACTAATAACCACACTAAGGGCCCCCTATAACCGCAATTTCCGTAACGTTTCTACCACACTAATGTCCCCCCAAAAAACAGCATACAAACTAAAATCTACTACCCCACTAATGTCCCCCCCCTAAACAAAAACACTAAATGTACTCCACACAATGGCCCCCCCCTAACACATACAGCTAACTGTACCCCAAAAACACATAAAGGGCCCCACAAAAAAAGCTACAGCAACCGGGACTACCACACCCAATGTCCCCCCAAACAGCATACCGCTTTAAAAATACTACCACACTAATGTCCCCAAAATAAACAAGGGGTACACTAAAATGTTAAATACCACATAATGGCCCCCCCAAAATCATTTCTCTAACTGTACTAATAACACAAAGGGCCCCCATCAGCATACAGCTAAAAGTATACCCACTAATGGGCCCCACATAACAGCATACAAAAACCCGTAATACCACCCTAATGTCCCCACAAACATCATACAGCTAACGTACTAAAAACACACTAAATCCCCCCAAAAACAGCATACAGCCAAATATACTAATTAAACACACTAATGTCCCCAAAAAACAGCATACAGTAACGTCTACCACACTAATGTCCCCACATAAAAACTAAACTAACTTATGATAAACCCCACTAAGGGCCCCACATAAAAAGCATTTCACTAACTCTAATACCACACTAAGTCCCCACATAACAGCTAAGCTTTAAAAATTTCTAATAACCCCACTAATGTCCCCACATAAAAGCATACAGCTAAAATGTCTACCACCCCTAAGGCCCCCCATAACAGCCCTACACTAATGTACTACCAATAATGGGCCCCCCAAAAACAGCATACAGTAACTGTACAAAACCCCACTAAAGTCCCCACATAAAAAGCATACCGCTAACTGTACTAAAACACACTTTTCCCCCAAACCATACAGCTAAATGTAATACCACAAATAAGTCCCCATATAACGCATACATAACTGTACTCCCACCTAATTTTCCCCCATAACAAACATAACTAATGTACTCCACAAATAAGTCCCCAAAAAAAAAACAGAAAACAGCCCAACTTTTTTTTTTTTTTACTTTCCAAAACTAAGTCCCCCCATAACACAACAGCAACTGTACAATAACACCTAAAGTCCCCCCCCTAACACAACGCTAACGGGAATAAAAACACTAAGGGCCCCCCAGAACAGCATACCCTAACTGTTTTACCCCCACTAAAGTCCCCCCTAACAGCATACCCAAGTACTTCCCCCAAATGTCCCCCCAAAACAACTACCCTAAATTACTACCACACTAATGTCCCCAACAAAAAAACCCTAAAAATAATGTACTAAAAAAACACTTTCCCCCCAAAAACAAAGCATACGTAACTTATGATACCCCAAATAATGTCCCCCCATAACAGCCTACAGCAACTGTACTGATACCCAAAAAAAAAAAAATGGGCCCCACTAAAAAGCATACAGCTAACCCCTACTTTCCACACTAAGTTCCCCCCATAAAACAGCATACACTAACTGTACTACACACTAAGGGCCCCCCCATAAAAACCTACAGCTAAAGGTACTAATAACACACTAATGTTTCCCCCCTAACAGCATACCCGCAAATGTACTACCCACACTAATGTCCCCAAATACAGCATCAGCTAAAGTCCCCCACAAAAAAGTCCCCCCCCAAAAAACATTTCAGCTAATGTAATAATTAACCCCCCTAATGTCCCCACAAAAAGCATTTTCCCGCTAACTGTATTAAACCCCCCTAATGTCCCCACATAAAACCATACAGGGTAAAGTACTACCACCTTTAAAGTCCCCACAAACAGCATACACTAAATGTACTACCACACTAAGTTTTCCATAACAGCATACAGCTAACGTAAATACCACACTAATGTCCCCACAAACGCATACCGCTAACGGGACAATAACCCCCAAACTAATGGGCCCCCCATAACAGCATACACAACTGGACTAAACCCACAAGGGCCCCACATAAAAAGCATACAGCTAACTGTAACCACCCCTAAGTCCCCACTAACAGCATACAGCTAACCCGTACTACCACCCCTAAATGTCCCCCCCCCATAACAGCATTTCACAACGGGACTACCACACTAATGTCCCCCCCATAACAGCCTACAGCAACCCGTAATACCCCCAAAATAATGTTTCCCCCCAAAACCGCATACACAAAAATTTCTACCACCCAAAAGTCCCCACATAACCCAAAATACAGCTAACTTAAATAAAAACACTAATGTCCCCCCATAACCGCCTTTCAG